ATTTTATTAACAGAATATAAGAAAGTAGATATTACAATATAGGATAACGCTTATACAATGTAAGATAATGTTTTCATCACTGAGTTATGGAGACAGATCATCATTATAAACCTGAAAGCACGGAAAAGCCGTTCCATCCTAGTATGGGTCTCACTATCAGTACACATCCACAACCCTCTCATGTACTGATCGAACCCAGGACCTCTGGTCTCATTCGAGAACGTTTGGTCTCTTGACCACCGAGCGCACATTGAACGATTTTAATACCTATCTTTAATCAATCCCCAATATTACGCGACCGAAATCGTAAGGTCTTAGATTTGATTTTTACTTACAAGATCGTGGATGTGTGCTGCTGATCAGTCCCACTTTACGAAGAAATCGCCTTCCATTGCTTCTTGGTTTCCAATGATAGCCTAAAATTATTCGATTGATGATTTGAGTAAAGTCATATTTACAGAGCGATGATCAAGCTACGGTGAAGGGCATGATTAAGACTGCATTTATTTGGTTAATTGGAAAGATTTTAACCATTAAAATAATCTTAGAGAAGTAGTCTTACTTCAGACTACTACCACTCTCGGAGAATAGGCCAAGAGACAGAGATTTTCAATCATTTATTTCTTGGACTCTCCTATGCACATTTTTCAATCTGCTATTCATCCTTTCAATGTCTGCTTCTTTTCAGTTTTGCATTTAGGACTTCAGGTTGAGGCTTGACTTGTGATGCGTTTTAGTGGTTACTGAATATGTGTTTCATCGACTTTCAGCGACGTTTCCTAATTATCTGCATCAGATCCACCTTAGATAAATGAGCTTCACGAGGGGTCGAAAATCAACAAAGTCAAAAACCTATTGCAGTTGTACTAGATGACACAAGTTTTTTTCAATAATAACGGTAACTTTTATTTTATTTACCTACAACGACGAAGTGAACATCTACCTGTTACGACTGCTTAATTCTTAGTCTTTGTAGAACTTCAGTAGAACTTTGGTTACATAATTCTAAGGAACTTGGAATCGTCAAAGCTAAAGGAAAAGAGGTGGACCAAAGAACACTTTGAACAGAGGACCAAAGGCAGACATAAAAAGAGTGAAGAGCTTATGTGAATGATTGAGAAGGAGAACCCAGGACAGAGGTTGCTGAAGACTTCTGTTAGGTGGCTTATGCTCCACGAGGGTAGCAGGCGTAAGTAAGTAAATAAATAAGTAATGCTAAGGAGACCTATACTATAACGAGATATCTATAAAGTGTTTCCTGGTCTCTAAGAGTCATGTGAAGTCATTGAAATAAACTATGGGATATCATAAATAAATTGTTCTATGCTAGTTCCTGTCTCTTCATTATTCTCCATCTTACACAGGGGTAATTTCATTTATCGTTCTCGGATCTTTTAATAGCTTAGTGGTATACATTTCAGTTAGTAAAAACGAAATGGCTAAAATATATTTTTTAGTTAGTTCTACTGTTGAAGGCTCTTCGGTTGAATATAGTTTCGCTTGTATACATCTCTCGGATTAAATGGGGGGTTCTGGTCGTGAAGGACTTGGTAAATAGGTAGGATTTCAAATTTATCTTCCCGTGTTTTCAAGATACATCAGATAATGCGTAACTGTTGAGTAATTTAGAGATTAAAATCAAATCTTATTGAGTTTTTCTTTACTACGGGGCTAACACATTTCATACTATTATTATTATATTATATTAGCTTAGAACTCCTTAGAATCGTTTTTCTGAAGTTTGTTAGAAATGTTCCCATTGGTTCACTATTTTTCTTTTGATATGCTGTTGACAGGATATATAGAATATTGTAGCTCTAAAAGAACAATTACGTTTTGTACTGTGATATGAACTTTAAAATCAAAGTAGTTTCACACACTTGTAATATGCAGTATTTTTCGAGTATTAACAATCAACAATCTCTAAATTAATAAGGCTTAGTAGGGCCAATGGTTCTATGTTATTTAGCACATGTTCTTACTCTGACATTCGTTATGAAACATGATGTACACGGTAGTATTCTTCAAATTTCAAGTGTCAAATTATCTGGAAAAATATTATCAATTTTGCTGACCGGATATGTAAAGATTTTTATTGCTTCCAAAGCTTCACTATCATGTTTGATTTGGTTTGTGCATCTTGTGATATGTCGGAGAATCTTGCTGCTACACTACTTATCTTATATGCATTTATTGTTCCGTGTGGGATGTAACAGCCAGATCATCTGCGTCGTAGTTGTTTAACTCGCTGAAAAAAAGCTAACCAGAAAACAAATTCAGTCAAAATATGATTTATTTGTTAAATTTATTTTACTCTTCTATTCTTAGACATTTTTAAAACTAGTTTAATAAACATTACATGGTTTATTTCTTATTTCTTTATATTAATGAATGATCATTCGTACTATTGATAGTTATAGTTAATTTCATTGAATTAATTAATCGATCACTGTTAGATCACCGTTTCATCCCAGTATGGAACTCATCACTGGTATGCATCCGGAACCCAGAATCTTCGGTTTCATGTTCGAACGCTTAACGTCTTGACTACTGAAATGATATCTAAGATTGTTAATGTTTAACTTTAAGCAATCCACAATACTGTTTGATCTCATCGATTGTCTTCGTTGGTTAACTACCTCACATTCAACATGGTTGAACTCCACTGGTTACAGCTTCTCACTAGAACTTCGAGAACTTTCTCACAAAGCTAGTCACTAGTGAGAGCATAATAATTTCCACTATGGGGTTAAATAATATATCCCTAAAATGTAAGCTTAAGAATATTCTAACCAATGAGTTGATGTGATAAAGTGAATTTTGATAAAAACAGTTACAAATAAATTTCAATGAATAAACATAATTGAATAACACATAAAATGAATACTTGATCAACCGTATGTTGGATTTCGTTGTGTAATTTGAATACCAAAGAAGGTAATATGTTGCTCTTTGGGAGTGCGATGTTATTTGTTCTACAAAAATACAACCCTTTACATAAATTTTTAATCAGCATAAAATAAGAATGAGAAATTAGTTGATTAATTCTCCCTGATCGGTCGTCTAGTCTCAGAATAATAAACTATCCTGCAGTATAAATTTCCAGGGATATGAACCAATAAGAATCGATATTGGATGTATGTTTGTAGGAACTACACCTCTATTATCAACCAACACCGAGAAAATTAATCTTACTTTTCAACATGAAAATTTTTATATCATAATATTAATTCTGGCCCTTTTCCATGCGTTTATGCGTTTAAATAAATAAACCATTGTCTACCGCCAACGAAGTGTAAAGACTGAACACTCACCATCCAACAGAATGTTTTGTGTTCGATTCTCGATGGGGTAGTTGATTGGTGTACACTGTTAAAATGTCTCATACTAATACGAAACAATTATCCAATTCTTTATCAGTAAAATTTGACAATCTCCACATACCTTCAATACTGACAATTTAATTATTCTCTTCATATTTATTATTTTCAACAATGAATTATATTCTATTAACTATCCAGATACCCGTATTTTAAATTCATCTAGTTATTTACTACAAGATGTAATGAAATAAATATCATGACCAATATTTTCAAAACCATTTTTATATTTGTAATAATTATCAATTTAAAATAAACTGGATACATTTATTCTGTTCGATCTTATCGGTTAATCAACTTTCGTCATTATATCAGCTTTCGGTTTTCGGGGGGGAGATTGGGAACATATGAATAGGATACACTTTCCGGAAGCCATTAAACTGCATCACATGCTAAGCCTTAACCTGAAATCCTCAATGCCAAAACAAAAGACAGACCAAAGAACATAAAAATCACTCGGAATCACAAACAGATGTCAAAAATGTGAACAACAATCGAGAACAAATGGAGAAAATAGCTGAGGACGGAGTTACTTGGAGATTCTTGGCCGGCGGTCTGTTGCACGTGGGACAACAGGAGTAGGTGGTATATATATAACCCAATATAATTTATCAAACACAGTATAGCTGAAAGTCTATTTAACTAACCTAGAAGTTGTTGAATTCGATTTTTCAAATTTAAATGTGATATTTTTTTAATGGATTAACGTTCATAAATATATTAGTTCACTATGAAGACTCATGTTACTTTTTATATAGATATCAACTTTCCGGAATAAAGTTGATTTATGTTAAGCGCACAATCAAATAATCGATTGATGTGTACTCGTCTACAATTTCTAGGTTAATGAATTCTGTCGATAAGAGGCTGTAATAAACAGGTAACTAATTACAACTATGGTTAGTAAACAATAGTGATAGACGAATAAAATATGAGTGAATTGTTGAATAATTGGATGAGTAATTGTTGTAAAGTAGTAGAGCTGACGGATGATCAATTTATGCATATTTATACATCCGATTCCGGATTGGTTACACAATCTGTAAAGTAAATTAATACCTCACTCACTCTCTCTCTATTTATATACATATATATATATATATATATATATATATATATATATATATGCGTGTGTGTGGCATTGTATGTTATATATATATGTATATACATCAGTGCCTATATTTGTCTCATTTAAGATAGATTTAATAAAAAAAAATCGGTTGTAACCAATCTGTATTTTGTTTGGTATATGTGTCACATTTATGTATCTATAAACGTACAACAAACAAATAGATATTTTTACAAATATTCTACGGATTATATCTGCTGCTACTTCCGAGTACCAATCTCATTACAATAGGAACATGTAATTTTGAAACTATATCTTGTAAAATAAATAACTTCAACTCAATTTATGGACTATATAATTAAATTTTTTATGATTATTTCTGTTTTTGTTTTTTCCAAAACTGACTATTTGAATATTAACAGTTATCATAACAATAAAACAGATCGAATCAGTTGACCTACCACATTTAAAAATCAACAATTAGTCATTGATTACTAACTCTGGATTCGAAATTTTGAATTCGATTTTATCCATTGTTAAAATGAATTACTCAATTATGTACTGTACATACTAAACTCTCTTAGTTGTGTACTTATAGAAAAGAAGTAAGTTTAGTAGTGTTTTAATTCATATTATATGTAATAATAACCATATTATTAAATTATTGATATATTCATTTTTCGGCTACCAAAATTTATGATGACTGAACATCTATTTTATTAGTGTTTATGGCATAATGATGTAATTTACAAGCCAAACAACTATCTACCAAAGATATTGGTCGAGGATAGCACTTTAAAACTGAAAGACGAAAGCTGGAAAAGTGGATTAACCAATTTAGCTACTGAACATTTTCATACCCATCCCGAAACTATGTGTTATGATCTTCAATTATTTACAACGGTCACTTGATCGAATTACCCGATCGATCAATTACATAATGACTATGAACCATGAGCGCCAAATCCTATTGAATAAAAACTCAATCTCTTCTATCTCCAAAATCCAATTCGAAGAAGAATATACAAATTTATCAAATGGCTGCTGGTGTTCATCGGAAGAGGACCTTGTACTGACCTAGGTGCCATTTTAGTTGGCGCATCTACAGCAAGACAACGATATTTCGAGGCAAAATCAGACGTGAATGAAACGAGTAATTACTTAGTTATCAATTAATATAAATATTTCATTCTTACTGGAGGCCATCCGAGGCTCGGATGAATCACTAGTAATATCTCCGATTGGAAAACTAAGTTAACAGAGGATTTTCTATCAATCATAACTAACCATTTGATCATTCACAATTTCTCATAGAGATGCTTAACAACTTTCATTAGATTGTTGTTGTAATCTAAATCATTCTAAATTTCGTGTATTCTCTAGGTGATGTGAATTATACGGTGAAAACCAACTTCATACTTCCTCTTTCACTTATATATTATGCAATTAATCAAAGATGAATAAGAATGAAATGATGAAATATCACTAGATTAAAATTTAATACCTGACTAGTTCACACTGGAATAGTAGATTTCAGTTCTGTTCTTTTCTTTTTTTCATTTTTTATTTTAAAATATACACTTTCAGACAATTAACGTTAACGATATGTATTCATGTTTTTCGTTTGCTTCCGCTCGATACTACTACTACTACTACTACTAAGACAGACAATTGAAAAGTTTTATATGAATAAAACGAAATGAAATATTCATATATATTCATATATATATATATGGTCAGTTGGTTCAATGTCTTAATGATATTCCAAATTCACATATACGTATATACCTATGCATACATTCATTTGTACCCTTGAATGCTTATCAACTGTGCACAAATACAAATGAACATATGTAAATGCAGAGTTCTATCAAACTTTTCTATGAAATCTATCTATACATGTTATGTATATTAGAAAACTGTACATAATTTTCATTATGTACAATTGAAATTAAAAAAAATAACAAACAAACAAACTTAGACAGTGAAATCAATCAATAATAAATAATAATAATAAGATAAAGAAAAAAAAAGTCCATTCATTCAATGCATTGATTATCAACGAATGTGTAATTAGAATTAGTTAATTGAAAATTACAAAAAGTTAGAATAGATTTAGATTTAGATTATATTCATCATGAATTATTTTATGTGCTTTGAAATTCTATCAACAGTTTATTGTTAATAATTCAATGAACAATTTGGTTTTCAGGAATTTAATTGGCAATCTTGAAACTTCCTTCAGACTTAGTTTATTTTGAAAATCTCGACCAACTCTAAACATGAGACCAGGTTATTAACCAAATAGGAGGATGTCAAGTTACATGATTATCCGTCTAAGTAGAGAGTTCTTAAGTGACATGAATTGAAAAAAAATCAATCACAGCAGCACTGATGCATTCACACTTTGTCTTCAAACACTTTGTATTTCACAAATCTATTGTTCTTTATTGACTGATCTTATTATCATTACAACTGGTAGTGGTATTTGTTTGAACAATTTTATCTCTCTGTCCTGATTTGGTGTGACAACGTGAATCGATACACATATTGGCCATGCTTTTAGATTGCTTTCGATTTAAATTACTTGTTTAAAACTTGATCATTTTTCACTTATTTGTAAAGTAAAGCTTATTAGAAGTATAAAACAAGTCAAGTTACAATTTGGCATAGAAAGTTGTTTATTCACTAGAATATATATATCAATATCGTTTTGTACAATCTCCATAGAAGACCAGATTCTAGAAAGAAACTTGACAGATGAATAGATCAAATCATTTTATGACCTTACAAGTACACGTTTACCAGTGTACATTGTTGTTATTTCATTGCAGTAAAGCAAGACAACATGTATGATGTCGATTTATATAAAGGCAGTGGTAACAATACTATTATCAGTGATCATCGAACGGCTCACATTGGAAAAATATATTTTACCCAACAACCAGACACTAGAACTTCAAACCAGAAGGAAGGTAATCGATTTTTAACTACATTATGGAAGTTCTTCAATCATAGATTTAAGTTTAATTTCATGGGAATTCAAACAGAAAATTTATATATATATATATATATATATATATATATATATATATATATATATATATATCCTGATAGGACAAAGGACCAACTGGATTAGACAGACTGATTCATTTTGATGCTAGTTGGTTAAAGACTGAATAGGATAGTTTTACAGAAAATGCTTCATTGAATTATTATGGTTTACCTTTTAAACTTACCTATCTACACATATTTCTCTTGACAATTAAATTAGAATTTAGTAGAAACTTGAATCAAGCCTAATAGCGAAATCAATTTTCAAGTATTTCATTAGATATAAACGACCATTGAATATTTACATGCTTTTGAAAAGTGGGATTTTTAATTAAGACATGTTACATAATAATTGAAATTCCCATGATTTCTTTTTAAAATTACAAAGTTCTGAGAAATTCAGTTGTGTGAGATACACATGTGTGTGACTGTAGGTAGGTGTACAAACATTATATCAGATTTTTACAGGTTTATAAAAATCTCACACTATAGTACAGATATTTTTCGTAAATTTTCGTCTAATCCGTTCGTTGATATTACGGAACACAGCTGATCAGCTTGTATTGGTATAGATGTATTCTGAATGGAGAGCCTTAATAATTCTATTTAGTGATAATATTCTATTCACTACTAAATCTTAAAAGTGAAATGTGGCTAGTAAAGTAGTGGAATCGAAAAACGAGCATTTATCCTTGTTATCAGCATTCTCAATATGATTGAATTTTTTAAAACAAGTCATAACATTTGTAGAAAATAACTACTATACAGTATACTCTTCCTATATAAAAATCAACTAACAGTTGTAAAATGAAAGAAATTAATGATTTACAATACACCGGTTTCTAGTTTGTGTCATTCACAATTCACACTGTACAATCATCTTAATTCACCTTGTAGTAGTAATTAACCTGAATCTACATCAAATAATACAGAGTAAGTAAACAAACAAACAAACAGACAAAAGCAACTAATGTTTATTTGTTTTCTTTTGTTATTTTTGTGTAAACCACCAGTGTTATCCAACACTTAAATTATACATTTAAGAAACTTACAATTTCTATGATTGTTGAATTTGATGTCAATTTGTAGAGTTGTTGATGAAGAAAAAGAAAGAAATAATCATCATAATCATAACTGTAATATTCACTTTTATCCGGATCATTGAATTAATCGCATTCTACTATGATTGAGTGAGATATGTGGAAAGTAGTGAAATGCAAAACTTATGCTTTGTTTAATTGTGGACTTGTCGACGGGATGTACCGAGATCTTAGTGTTATTGATCATGCGGGAGCTTGAATCCAGTGTCGGTTTCAAGAAAAGCGTAAACCAACCAGTAATCTTTAAGTTGAGCACTGCCCATTTAAAACATTTGCTCCGAGACAGCTTATTACTCTCTACTGACCCCCGCGATTGGTCGAGTAGAAACCAGTCTTACCAGTGATTGTTTTACTGAACTCTTTGTCCATTCGCACTTTTGTACACACACTTTCTCGTTGCTCGGATGCCATCGTGTTTCTGCTGCTCTGTGTACCTTCCCCCATTCGCTCTAGCACGATTTCGATATTCTTTGGATACCTTGAAATCGCCAGCAAATATAATCCTTCATCTTGATAATCTCTTCTCCTCTGTTTTTGGTTCACGACGGGACAACGGGTTAAGACTAGAAGATAATTGTTTTGTAGGAGTGTTTACAGTGTTTACGGTTAGACTGGGATAAAATATCAGCTAATCAGATAATAACTATTGTAAACGAATAGCCTACTCAGTAAGCAGTTAAATTATGATCATTTCTATGTAATTAACTAGTGTATTAAATTAGTGAGATGGTGGAAAATATTTGTAGCTCAAGTGGATGATTGTTGTGGTGTTTCGTCCTCTGAGCTGGATGTTTCGCTTGTGGAGCTTTCGTTGTTCTTCTGAACAACGTCATCAGCACAAACTTCGGATAGAAGTGAAGTATTCGAATTTCTCCACTTTTGACCCGTGGCTTGTTCTTTTAACCTCGATCTTTATTGGTTGCTACTGACCTAAAAACTGTCGTCGTTTGCACTTTTCTTTTGATTGTATCCCTCTTTTGATCTGTTTCTTGATCCTATGTCGCTTATGATTTTTCTGATTGGTTGATAAATTGGGTCAATGTTGACGTGTTTGTTGAATGCTGATTGACCTGATGGCGAAGCTTCTAAAAACTCTCTGGTGTTCTTCGTGCCCCACTATCCAGTATTCTCACATTGTTTCAATCGAATGTATGTCCATAACTGTCCGTGTGTAGTGATATAAGCGAAGAACTGTCGTGGCGTTTGACTGCTAATTGGTGTTCCTGTAGTGATTTTCACAGTCTGAGCAATTTATTTTGTAGATAATACTTGGTTTTTCTTCCTTTGTCATTTTGTCCTTTGGTCTACATAGGATTGATTGAAATGATTCTGTTGGTTTCATTTTTATCTTGTGGTGACAAGAATAAATTTTTTATTAAAATTCTAAATATTCTTAACATTATGTGGTACAGGAAACTATCATACAGTTTGAATTTTGCTTAAAACACTGAAAATTAGTTCGAAGCAAATTGTTCAATGCATCGCTCTACTTATAACATGATGTCCATTTTCTACAAATTTGTCAAAGTAACCAACTTTAATGTGTTTTTTTTTTAATCATTTTGAAACAAATTACAATGTTTTTGTCTGCTTTGGTGTCCTGTTTTTACAATAATTTGTAAGTATCATTTATCCAGCCAAGTAAATTTCTATGTTTTAGTATACAAATCATGTTCAGTGTATCTGTTAGTCAGAAACTAATGAATTTTAATGGTTTATTTTATATAAATATATATTTCTGTTATTTTTTTCAGAAATTGCCTGTATAATGATTGTTTTAATCAGTTGAAAAAGAGACAATGTTATTGATTTGTCAAAAATCATCCTGTTTATTGTTCAAATTATTTTTATATTACTACATCTACCTTTGTGATGCTGATAATTTTTCTAATTTGGCTATGCCACAAACTAATGCCCCAGTGTATGATAAACATGATTCATCTCCTCTTCAATCAGTAGTATCATCATCATCATCATCATCATCTAATTCTTCGTCTTCTTCTTCGTCTACAGAACCGAATCGATTAAATTTATTTCATTTAATTGAAGAATCACCAAATGGTACAGAGATTATTGGTGTGTCTGAATATTTACATCAATATATTTCAGTTAATTTACAACAGTTTTTCACAATTAATATTATAAAAAATGATATAAAGAATAATCATAATAATAATAATAATGATAATAATTTCTTTAGTAATGATAAAATTCAATTCAATTTTCAATTACTTGATATACATGATCCTTTAACAAGTTCATTAGATTTAAATCCACTCACTGGTAAATTGACAATTCAAAAACGTGTTGATCGTGAATCAATATGCAGTGGGGATAGTGTGAGTGTCAGTAGCAGTGGTGTGATGAGTAGTAGTAGTAGTAGTAGTAGTAGTTCACGATTGCCAGTAAATGGACGTCCACCAATTTTCTTACAGAATACATTGGATATTAATAAATATTTAACTAATTTAGGATATTTTACAAATCCTACACATATGATATCAAGTAATTTGAATAAAAAATGCATTAAAACACTGAATATTTTATCGACAACACAAATATTAGAATTTAATGAAGTGGATATTAAAAAAATACCTATTGATTTATTAATTATCGATATAAATGACAATAATCCAGCGTGGATATCAATTAATAATGGGATGAATTATAATGGTAATAATAATCATTATAATCATACTACTACTAGTAATCATGATAAGATACCAAATATTATTGTACAAATATCAGAGATACCAAATAATGCACAACAACGATATCAGCAACCACAACAAAAGCTGCAATCAAGAACTAGTTTACCACGTGCTTATGATCCAGACGAAGGAATCAATAGTCAATTGACATATCATCTTCAACCCATTGAAAAGTCATTAGATTTTAGAAACGATCATGTGAATAGCCAAAATGAATATATTCCATTTATTCTAGAAGACATTCCTAATGGTCCTTTAGAACTGCTTTCAACTGTGAATTTAGATTATGAACAAAAACAAAATTATGAATTTTATGTAATAGCTACAGACAATGGTCTACCACAACGAACTGGTACTGCATTAATCAAAATCAATGTAATTGATGTAAACGATCATGCACCAATATTCGATCGACTTATATTCTATCCACCGAATAAATCAATCTCGGAAAAAACATTACCTGGTACAATTATATTAAATTTAACAGCTTCAGATCAAGATGTCTCATCAATAAATAATCGTATACATTATACAATGATACCTGGAACATTAGCTATGAATTATTTCAATGTCCAATTGAATGGTTTAATTGTATTGAAACGTTGGTTAGATTATGATACTATGGAAATGAATTCAATCGATCATCAAGAAATGTTGAATGCATTAATATTTAATATAAAATCAAAAACAACCCCAGATGAATTAAACAATAATATTAATAATAATAATATGAATGTAAATATAAATCAGAATTATAAAAAACAATTTATATTTCAAGTGAAAGCCACTGATTCTGCACCTAGACCATATGAACTTACTAGTACTGCTATAGTGATTATTCCTGTAACTGATGAGAATGATGAAGCTCCAATGATTACAGTGAAATTTCTTGGTTCATCAGAGTCAACAAGTCATGGTGAAACAGGTAGACACTTATATAATTTTCTTTTTATCAATCACTTATGTATATATATGAGATTGATAAATTTTAAAAGTGATGAACTAATTAAAATTTGACTGATTTAAGTGAATGTAGATTGGAAATTAATTAATAACCTAATATAATAATTAATGGAGTGTTTGTCGAATCTTTTAATACTACTAACTGAATTCTATTGATAATAATGAAATATAATGACTAATCTGATTCAATGAATATTGTATAGAGATGATTGACCGTAATTGATTTAGGTTTTGTGTGAATCGACACCTGTCTTCAGAGCGTATATTCAGTGGTCTTAAAAGAAATAATGGTCTTTGATGAATTGAAATCCTGATAAGATTGATCGATACTTAGTCGTATATATGAGGTCTATCACTGGTAGAATGTTTCTCTGGTAACGCCTCAAACTGTGGAATTGGGTGATTTGGGATACAATCTACCATACAACATTAATTCATTTGACATTTCAGGTGTGCATTGCTGAAGACAATTGAATTTTACTAAATCTATATCTTAACTTTTCAACATTTGTCATTATATTAATTCACTCTGATGAAACATTGAAATAAATGTCAACCTTCAGTTCAAAAAATAGACGTTACATACTACAGAAGTGTGGAAGATAATTTTTGTAAATCATTTTATGGTGATCTTTCAAAATTTGCAGGCAATTAAAATGAAAAAGACAATAAACAGTTTTGGTTAATTTACAAAATCTAAATTTTGAAACCATGAATCGATCAATATTAGACCACCATTAGAAACCTCGAAGCACTGGACGGCCGTTTTGTCCTGGTATGGGACTCCTCAGCAGTACGTATCCACGACTCCTGCACCTCACAGGATTCAAACCCAGGATCTTCGGTATTGTGCGCGAACGCCCTAACCGTTAGACCACTGAGCCGGTATCCAACGGTGTTAATGTCTAACTTGATCAAATTCATGGAGTTGCGCAACCTCATACACAGTCTTCGGTAGACACTGCCTACACCCGAACAGGTTGAACTTCACTGGTCACATCTTCCCACTAGAACTCGGAGAAGATTCCTCACGAAGCTGAGGAGTCCCATACCAGGACGAAACGGCCGTCCAGTGCTTCCAGGTTTCTAATGGTGGTCTAACATTGATCGATTCATGGTTTCAAAAATGTGTAACTTAACAATCTTCACAACCCCGTAATGCAAAATCCAAATTGAAAATAATCATCTAGGTACAGACAATGTTTAAGATTGTTAGTTTAGTATTAGAAATTAAGCGACAGAAAGAGCATTTAGATCAAAGTAATAATAATCTTATTCAAACAATAAGAAGATATGAACAACAACCGATAAATCACTCTTACTTTAAATGAATACACATAGAATTTGGGCACATTTATAATATTTATAAATTATTCAATGACACATAAACTCTTTTCTAAACAGAATTGAAACGATGTTCTTTTTATTTTCAATACCTAGTAATAATTTATTCATTAGTCAAATTGATTTTAACACAACAGATTACTACTTTCTGATATGAGTCTTTGCTAAAAATGTAATCAAAAGCCAAAATAAAGTAAATAAATTCATTAGATTTTCTTTGTAAGCTTCAAACTTTTCCGTTTCATTAGGTTTAATATGAACAAAACACTTGCTCCGTAAATTAGGTGATTCCAAGGGATATTAAAAGTATGAAGGCAGTTGTCAGTACACAAAAAGGCCTTACTATACCTGGAAGTGAAATAAGTTGGACAAGGTGAGGTAAAATATTATGAGACATAACCTGTTCTGACCTCATCCTTTCGTTGTAGATAGGCATTATCTCTATAGATATCGGTTTCATAGTATTACTTACTTTCTTACTTACTTAGGCTACCAACTAACTGGTTAGCATTTTCTCGGCTAGTTGCTTTTCTACGGGATGGCGTCGCTAACCTTGTGCCCAATCCTCCTCCTTTATCCATGCTTGGGACCGGCAGTAGGCCTCAGACGGGCTCCAGGTGGAGTTCGTAATATTGTAGGTTAAGATAAATGAATTAGCACATACCTCTATGGATTGAAACATTGAGTACTTCATAAATATTATTATTCCACTTCCTCGTAGCTGTGATTATCTAGTGGCTTATATTAGCGAAAGAATAAATCTAAACTGTCTTCATTGTTTCACACTACTTAATGCCATATAGCCAGGTTATTGTAGTTATATAAAGCTTAATAAAGCCAAAAAAATCCATAAAACTAATAATATTTTTTTTAATATATCAGTCATTTGAAAAGTTAAACCATTTTTTCTTGTAATTTCGTAACTCAGTGTAAACTGTTTCCTTCAGAGAATGAATGAACGAATAATTCATCCGAATACTTAATCCGTTAACTTTCTCTCTTATCATTTCAGGAGTTGTCAAAGAAAATGTTCAACCACCCATTCAACTAGCCTATATACAAGTTCGTGATGCTGATTTCAATGGGAATGATCAAATTAATTGCATGCTAACAGATAGTGTGAACTTTTCATTAAAACCAGTCAATTCGTTGGATGTGTTTCATCAAAACAATGAAATTCATAGTCACTTAGATTTACAAACATCACAATTGAATTCCGCTTCAAAATATGATTACATTTTAAATTTAATTACTAAACCAGATCGTGAAAAGAATCCTTTATATTATGTACGCATAAAATGTATTGATCAAGCGTCGAACTTTAATGAACAAACTATTCGTTTACGTGTGTTAGACATGAATGATGAACAGCCACGATTTCAAAAATCAATATATCGATTTGACTTACCAGAGAATAGCGATAAACAATTGAAACCATTTGGATATTATCGAATGGATAAAGTGAATAGGAATAATAATAATAATAATAATCATGATCATTTAACTAATCAAACATTGTCAACAAAATTAAATGAAACTGAACAGAAAGAACATAAAACAGAAGGAACAGAAGATCATTATGAATATCGAATAGGCAGAGTACTAGCTGAAGATAATGATCAAGGTGAAAATGCACGTGTGGAATATTTTTTGGATGAGTATTTTTTAGAGATCCGATCATCAGTTAGTTCAGTTTTACCATCAGCTTATTTACTCATTAATAAACAAACCACAGTAGAAGATAAGAATTTATTTATTTATCATAATGAAAATAATATTAATGATAATAAAGCTGTTAGTCATGAATTAATTCGAGTTGACCAATTATTTCGTATTGATTCACACACTGGTATACTGTATGCATTAAAAAAATTTGATGGTGAAAATGTCGATATGTTTCGATTCAATGTGTTCGCTTTAGATCAACCAAATCAAATCACTTCAATTCGACATAGTGGAACAGCAATAGTTGAAATTAAAATTACAGATGTGAATGATTGGCCACCATTGTTTATATTAACAAATAAATCTAATATGAATATAACAGATACTACTAATTACAATCTAATCAATGATCAAAGTAAACAACCAAAATATCAACAACAATTGAATCATTTATTTAGCAATGAAAATTTCACCATTGATCATCATCAACAAAATGATTTACATTTTGTAAATCATTATGTATTTCATGTAAAAGAGAATAGACCAGCTTATTGGTTAATAGGACAAATTATGGCAATTGATTTAGATGTTGAAAGTAAAGCAATGACATATGGTAATAATAATAATCATTTCAATGAACTAACTAGACCATCATCTAAATTATCATCTAGTTTATCATATATTACATTAAGATTAGCTAATAATTCATCATTAGAAATACGTCAAACATTTAATTTACATGCTACAAATGGTTATTTAAGAACATTAATTTCATTAGATAGAGAAAAACAAAATCAATATATATTTAATATCATTGCCTATGATGGTAATCCATCCATATCGTTCACATCACAAACATCAACAGCTACAGTGACTGTGATTGTTGATGTAAGTATATATATATATAAATGAATGTGTTTATTATGAGAATAAAATTGTTAAATTTTTATGCACAGTTATCAAGGTTTTATACATTTCATTGAAAATGTACTTATTAGTGATTAGTCACATGCGGAAATTCTCAGAGTTATAGAGAGATATCGTAACCAGTGGAGTTCAACCCTGTCGGGCGTAAGCAGTTACTTATGAAAGACAATGGGCGAGTCTACGCAATATTTACGATTGGTTGAAGTTAGATATTAACACTGTTGGATGCCGGCTCAGTGGTCTAAAGATCAAACTAAAGGTCCTAGGCTGGAGTCCGGGGAGCGGGGACCACGAATGTGCATTGCTGACGAGTCCCTTACTAGGCTATCCAGTGCATGTAAATTTCTAATAGTGGCCAAGCAATGACCGATTCATCAATCTAAATGCATTACAGCAGTCGTAAGTATACATGAAATTTGATTATTTCACATTAAAGTATTTGATTAATAGCATTGGCGGCTATTGGTGGCTAGCAGTGGAACTGAGAGAAGCTCTTTTCATCCTTCTAAAAGATTCATCAGCTCGATTCACCTGCATTGAAAAGTTCATGTTCAATCCCAGACACGAACCCAGCACTGTTCGCTTCAAATAAAACCACGTTATCCAGACTGATCAATTGCATTCCTAAACATCGATAGGATGATTCAAACAAGCAATAAGCGTAAATTGATTTTCACTGTATTACACAAGCAAGTGGTTAACGCATCTAGCGCATTATTAGATATACAAAATCTAATTTCCATAAAAAAGACTCCACTATCTCCCTTTATATTATATGGCAGTAAACTAATCCATAATAATTTTCGTGTTATTCATAAAATAAACAGATCCTCAACATGTTGTTAAATACTGTGTTGTTGTAGGTTGTTATCTTCTTGAAAGGAAAACTGATTTGTCATTTGTGTTTACAACAGGAAAAGGAATTTTTCAATTTAAACTACTTGAATTAGACAGTACATATTAAAAAAATCAATACTACTATCTGACATAGTGCACAGAGAATCATTAGAACATAGATATTTGTTCAATTATACAACCAATTACTAACAATATGATATTAATTAAAAAACGTATGAGTGAAGTTTAAACAGAAGTTAGTCTCCCATATTTAATATAGTTGTATTTTATATCTGTCCAGTTAGGAATTACTTACAAACAGAATAAACTCATTTCATTTTCAAGTAATTACTGATGATAACATTATCCAGAATGATAATGAAAGCTTCATAATTAAACCATTCACATCAAAGAAAGTAGCATCATCATACATGAACTGTGATATACAGTCAAAACTAGATTCATGAAATGAATTGTCACAACCGATTCCAACAAATCAATGATTATATTTTACTTGAATAAAGATCAACACAGATATTATTCATCATAAGCTAACTATATTGAAGATGTATAGTCAACCCGAAAAAGATATCACTAATTTACCCAAGTTCACTGAACAGGTGTAGTTAGTAATATCTCATATATATATATATTCAAGTAAAACATGTAACGTGTGATCTTGAATATACCGCCAAACTGTACTAAATAAAACTGACAGATCAATACGAAATTTATGACATAATTCATGGATAACTAGAGAACACCTGCTAAATTTTTTATCTTTTGAAATTGTAGCGAAATTCTCATGAATTGTAGTAAACATCTGTCGTAATTTGTATTTCTTTTTCTAGTAAGTTGATGCTAAATCTTTGAAAAATTGGCATAATCTCTGATAGTAAAAGCCATAAAAATAAAATCTTTATCATTAGCCATTAACTCTGATTGGTTCAATCTTATTCTATACTTCTTACAGACAGATATATACAACGCAGAACTTCGTACGTAAGTACATCAGTTCAGGTTGCCATACCACATCAGCACAGAGACGCAACTGTCAGTTCAAATCCAAGAGTGATACCGATAGTAGAAGCATTACCAGTAATGGAGAAGAATAAGATTCAAAGATATGATTCGATAAGTATAATTCAGTGAGATAAATTTAGAAGGAGAAAGGTAGAGATTATAAGGAATGCAGAAGCTTAGAATTTCTTAGAACACAAAGAGTGGATGAACCTGCGCCAATGCAAACGATTCTCAGCCATGTCGTTCAACGTCTCTAACCATCGGTGACTTTCGTCTCGCGGACCCCAACCAGATAGCCTATATCTACCAACATGACTCAGTCCACTTGTCAGTGACTCCATGGATTGCTGCCATGTTTTGGTCTGGCCGTCCCTAGTTTCCTTCCAACCTACTCCTACACTGCAAAGCATAGCTCGTCGAGGCAGTCGGTGGTTACGCATTCGTAACACATGTCCGAACCACCTCAACTGATGAAGTTTCACTACTTCATCTACTGATTTGCGATCCTAACCTAGAACTTGGTTCCTAACAACAGCATTGCTTATACGGTTGTCCCAGGATACACGAGCAATGCTTCGGAGACATTGATGATCGAAGACTAGTATTCTACGAAAGTCCTCTACTCTTAACGGCCATGTTTCTCATCCGTACAGTAGGACGGAGCGAAACGCTGCACAGTACACTCGTCCTTTGGTTAGCGAACGGATATCTCGCCTGCGCCATGTGTGACGCAGGTTGACAAAAGCCAATCGAGCCTTCTGTATCCGAGCTGAGATTTCGTCAGTCACCAGGCCATCAGCACTGATGAGACTCCCAAGATAAGTGAAGCGGTCAACACGTTCGACTACTTCACTCCCTATCACTTAGTTCAGGTACCGATGGAACCCAGTCTTGAAGCAACATTTTGCATTTCGAGGGGGAAAACCGCATCCCGAACATGCTTGCATTGTTGCTTAGGGTAGTCAGAAGACTCTGCATTTTGTCAGCGTCTTCAACTAGAACTATGTCATCGGCATATTCTAGGTCAGTAAGCGGTTTTCCTGGTATAGAGTCCACTCCTGAAAATTGAGACGAGGATAAGGTTACATCTCGCAGCATGTTGAGTTTGGATGAAATCAAGAATAGATCAATATTAAATAACTACTAACTAAATAACAACAACCTGAACAACCACGTAGTACTAGTGTAGGACTATTCATCAAAACGCAGTCATGAATGTAACATGTAGTGAACCCAGGAATTGCGGTCTCGAGAGCAAACGCCCAATCTATAAACTATTGGACTAACATTCACTGATTTACAAGTCTAAATTCGATTAGTCAACAATGTTGTTCGACCATCATCGATTGTTTTTGGTTGGTACCTTTCATACACTCAACTCGGTTTAGCTTTACTGGTTACAGCTTCTCACCAAAACTCTGTAGAATTCCTATTTAAGCTAGTCGGTTGTGATTACTGATGGTATTGGATTGAGGAAATTGCTGAATTTCTGTTCAACCCATTTTTTACATTTCAGTCTTTATTGGTTGAGTACTTTCACCATTAAAATTAATATCAAGACTTTGATTTTGATTTATACATAGAAATAATCAGACGTTGGACAGCATGAAACTAGTAGCATTTCAATCTACAATAACCTGTGTGAAATATCACATGAGTTATCAAAGTCAAACTATTGATTGTGCATTAAAAACGAGACATAGTATAGCGGAAAGTTGTTTATGCACTCGCTTAAGATCTAGGACTACATATTCTTGCTTAATCTGGGAATTAAATATGTGACCAGCCAGGCGTCTTGTCAGTTACAGATTACGAGTTGTTTCTTGGTCTTTTCACTTGCATAACTGATTGGACAAGGGTATAAAGATTGTATATACCTGGATTAGATGCTGTTGATAATCAATTAATATGAAACGAAAATCCATATTTATTCATCAACCACATCCTTAATCACTACACAGCGAAATATTGTTTAAAAACTGTGTCACATGTATGGCATATAGGTTTTTAGTATTATTTTCTTATCGGTACGAAAATATAATCTTTTCTGTTTCGTGAATTCACTTTTACAAACATTCTCCTGATATTACATGTTCTGAAAGATGATTCCAGTAACTGGCTTCTCAATGTGAGAAGCGGAACTCCAGATATAAACCATTTGATCACAGTTTTTAAAATTTCTTATACAGTCCTCTCAGCTGATCCGTTCTAGATGGAACGAGGAAATAACACACGTTTATACAAAAATCATCGTTTAGTATGCGATAAGCTAGTAATTTTTCATCTTGTAACCTACGGTAAAATTACGAAAATAGGTTAAGGTATCGAAGTCTATTTTAATCATCCACATAGATAATTATAGTTTTCTGGAACTTGCATAAAATGTTTGATTACCAGTTTGCTGATTAGAATTTAGCAAACTTATCAATCTAAGTTTAATTATCTAGTTGATATTATCAATTCACATGTAGTTAAATGTGAAATACACCGACTACTTAATTATATTTTCAATAGATTATTGAAATGTAATTTTAAAATTGGTTTTTGGATATGATTGTAATTATAATCCATTATTATGGAAATTTTTCATTATCCTATTACTCCACTATACTTGTTAACTATACATTTCTATCAGCGATAACATGATCGGTTATGAGTAAATTCATTAGGTATCTGCTTTATATTAAAAGTAACAGGTAAGTGTTTCATTAAAGACATAATATCATGTATATAACTGAAATCAGGTAATCAGTCGTAAATGCCTCATCAATAGGTAAGATATTATCTTTGGGGTGATTTAAGTAAAGAGATTTATTTACAAGTGATTAGATACCTAACAATGACCAATAAGTTGTTTGTTAGGCGGTTTAGTGTTAACTGAATCCTACCAACCAAGTTACAAAATGATCATTGTTTTTAATTGGCACAACATCGTATTCAGCATACATCGATATTACTTCATTGAAATAACTGGACAATAACTATGGATCCGGATTTAATACAAACTAACATGCCTTCAACAAGACATAACTGCACTCTCAAACTGGCTAATGATCCCTGTAAGATTTGTACATGTGTTCTCCAGCCTCATAGTCGTATAGGTTACAAGTGAACTCAAAACCTTCGGTCCAAGGTTTCTCAGTGAATATTTTCAACCACCTATCCAGTTAGTTATCGATAAAATATATTCTTAGACTGATTAAACATCAATGAGTCTAATCATTTTGTAAAATTTAAACTAGAATCATGCTATCTAATCAATATTGAATAACACATTGGTAAGTTTAAATCTTTTCATCGGTAAATATCATACCGCCTAAAATTGCATATTTCCTCTGACAGTGATTGCCAAAGTGTTGTAGACACATCTACTGGAACTTTAGAGATTTAAACTTATGCTATTATATGACAAGCTCAACTGCACTGACTTGACACAACTAATAATCGATAGGAATGATTTTTGTCAATATACAGATGAAATATATCTATTAATTTATTATTTGAATTTTATTCTTTCTCTTTTTTGTTTTGCGATTCTTTTCTCTTACAAAAATCAAATTTCATTAAGGATGAAAATGACAATGATCCCATATTCATTAGACCGGCAATTTCCTCCTCCTCCTCCTCCTCATCATCATCATCATCATCATCAGCAGCAGCAGCTGCTGCAGCAGCAAAATCACAATCCAAATTAGATCTGATGAATAGTCAACACAAACAATATTCAATCAATTCATTGATTCATGATAAAAAAGAAAATGACTTCCTAACAAAACAATCCAATCATCTGAATGTTCAGTTGCCCGCCTCCCATGATGATAAATATGCTAAAAATGATGAGAATCAATTAAAACGAATCAATCAGGCTGTGAATAAGAATGACAATAATGATAATTTAATCCAACAAACTATGCAATCGATTTATGATGATAAATCAAATATACCAGTTGTATTAGTTCATAGAAGTGAAAAAACTCACGATGTCAATAGTGGTGAAGGTAATGAATGAAAATCTATTTTATTGATGAAATTATAATCATTGTTTTTTAAGATTACATCATTCAACAAAGACTATTTTCCAAGTGTATTCACCTTTAAAGCATTGACTAAGTATTGCCTAAAATGTTATATGTACCAGATCTATAAGTTACACAACTGGTTTCAAACTAAAAAAAGAAAAAGAAATGGAAAGTTGTTTTATTTTAGTAAAGAGAACTATTCCATTTCATGTGCTGACAAACATACAGTGTGGTTTGAATTTAGAATGAATGGATAAATAAACAAACTTTTTGATTGGTTAATTCATTTGCCGAAATTAAAAACGTGTTCTTCACCGTTATCATAAAAATACTCTGAACAATATAATTCCCCTTCAATATCAATGATATCTTAATCCATAGACAATTAATTGTAACATAAAATAATTAATATGCAAATCATTGAAACATTTCATTTCTATTCTCATTCAATAGTACCATAGATTTTAATTAGTCCATAGTATTTCAGAGTTTACATGTAAAGAAAGGTATTTTAAATTACATATATCTCAATCACAAGTTGCCTGTTACCCCAGTGGTGCATAGGCCGCCGAACAGCCTACTCCAACCTGCTCTGTCCTAGGCCTTCTTTGTCATTTCTACCTAATTGTTGTTTATTCTTCTCATCTCTGTCCCTGATTCTCGATGTAATGTGTTCTTCGGTTTCCATCTTCTTTTCGTGCTCTGAGGACTCCAATAGAGAGCTTGTCTTGTGATGCAGTTGGATGAATTTATCACATTGATCAACCACTTATAACTCTGTCGATTTTCCATATTCGTGACAGATTATATATATATATATATATATATATATATATATATATATATATATATACATATTTATATACATTTGGACATATACTTATAGATTATTATCACTATCTGATTAAAAATAATGTCTCATTGAAATAGTAATTAATTTCATTTCATGCCTGTCAATCATCTCTAGAAAAAGAGGTATCCATTAAGATTAAATTAAAATTGGGAAAAGTTTAACAAAGAGAAAAATTAACTACAAACTAACTAGTCACTTTCTTATTAGTTTTGCTTAAAATGAACAACTATTTTTTTTTAACTGAATATTTTGAAATGTTTAGAGATTTGAGTGAATATGTTCGTGTTGGAAAAAATTACCAGTGTTTAAAGTTATAAATTAGTTATTACCATAAGTGGTTTGTTAACCTGTTGAATTTCATTGTCCTATATGATGAACTAATCTAAATTAGACAAATATTAAAAACTAAGAGCACCTTTATGGTTGCTTCGTCATGGTGTGTTACTCCTCAATATTATGTATCTGTGAACTCCCTCACCAAGGATTGAATTCGTGACTTCTATGTACAACAGAGAACGTTTGCTTTTTTGTTGTTTAATGAACTGTATCCGATGGTTTACATTTTTTATGTTCGACCATTTCCAATATATTACTCAACCATTCAATTCCATTGAGGGAGTGACTGCCTCACGTATGATTTGTATCCTGAGTAAATTCAAGAAACTACACTTCTGAGAAGTCCTATTCTATGCCGAAGCAGATATCCAGTGCTTCCTGATTGTCATTATTTGCCAAACAGAGATCATTTTGTGTTTATCTAAATGATTGACGAAGCGTTCGATTGTTTTTGTTAACTGTAACTCAGTGCTAAAATTGATATTCAGAGTTAGTTTCACAGAATTGTGAATTTTTCCAGTTTACGGTGAAAGATATCTATCTCATTTTATTGGATAAATATCCTAATTAATAAGCTAATCTCATTATTTTCTCAGGTGAAGCCTCCAGTTTAACCGAATCTAGACCACTGTTACAAATTGAAGCCATTGATGCGGATATTGATGAGAATGCTAAAATTACTTATGAAATTGGAGCCGGTAATACAGATAATTTGTTTGTTCTGAATTCAGAAACTGGCATTCTGTCTTTATCGCCTCATCTTAATTCACAGTCTGATCACTTAAGACAATCATTAAGAAATACAAATTTGAATCAAAAATCTATTCACCCTATCTCATATATGCTACGTTTTGAAGCTTGTGATCATGGTTTACCGAAACGTTGTGCTTCACCTATTTGGGTACAGTTGGTAATTGATCCTAACGAATTTCCACATCTTGCTCAATTATCACATGTAACCAATTACATAAATCCATCTATAATTAATAACCATGATAAATTAAATGATCCATCTTATTCAATGAATCCGACATTTAATGGATACATTGAACAGTCTAAGGTGGTAATGTTACCTGATCATGTTAATTCACATTCAAACACTAACAACCACATTGATTTAAATAAACAAACAAATGGAATTTTTCATGAACAAGAAAATTCACTTGGTAGCATGGAATTTAATCAGCGTTATCCACCAAAATCTACACAATCGAAAAATATTTGGAATTTAAAATCACCACTAGATCTTCAACAGAATATTAAAAATAATAAGAATCAATATCCTGAACTTCATCAACAGTTATTTGATTCGAAGCGTAGAAATCACCCTGGTTTAATGCAACAATATCATCGTAGACATCATGAAAACTACATCAATAATGACAATCATAACGATAATAATCATGGAAATAATCAGTCTAACAGTTTTATCATCAGTGAAGTTGCAGTAGTTTGTTTAATAATTGTATTTATCATTTTACTGATCGCTATAATGATATTGGTCTGTTTGACTAGGCGGAAAACAATGTTGTTACCAGTGACTACTCCTAAATCTAACTTGTATGGTTAGTTCCATTTAATAAAACTTTATTTATTGTCTGCTAATGAATATTGTCATAGTAGTATAATTATATTTGATAAAACTGCTGACCTGTGAGTCATTAAACACATACGCATATGCCTAGGCGATGACACAACAGCTGATCACTTACTGCCTTCATCATCCACATAAGTATGTAAAATCAAGCATCATTGCTTATATGTTTACAACTACACCCATTAGACATAAATCTACCAAAGAAAGTTTACGTTATCCATCAATGACTGATGTCAACAATCGTGAATCCATGACATTTGTCTGATAGTTAGCAGATAAGTTTACTGTCCTTGTAGGTCAGCTAATAAACTTAGTTTTGTCACTAATACAAACTGAATGACAATCGAATTATGGATTTAAAATATTGTAGTATGAATGGTTCTTTTGAGGATAACACACTTCGACAGTTAGTCACTGAGACAAGAAGAACATCAGCTGTGGGAAAACTTGATAAGTCAGCAGAACAACCCAAAATGAGGCACAGAATAAGTCAGCTTATTCAAAGTAATGAGTTAGTCAATTAGAAAAGACTAAATATTATGCAAGAGATTGAATTAGAAAAAAAATACTACATTCTCAATTACCATGATTAATATGATTTTAGTATTATTTTAACAAGAAATGAGTAATTCATTGATTACTTTAGCAAATGCGATAACTAACTGTATACTCTAAATCAAAAAAATTAAAATGTGAATGACTATTCTCGAGTTAAAGTTTTATTAAATACACTTTTGGTGCTTATCAAATCAACCATATAGATAGAAGATGTATTAGTCAATTAAAATCTGAAATAATTGAAAGAAATTCTATTCTATTCATCATAGAACATTTTCTCCTTGTAATTCCATTACAGATCTAACGTATGTTGGATTAAAAAAGACAAGATCTATGTGAAATCATGTTAACTTATATTTCAATGGTGGACTGTTAACATCATAAATAGTGTGATGATATTTGTTTTTAAGTTTACTGATTTCTACCTGTTTACAATTAATCACTAATTGTAAGTGTATTTCACTCAAAGATGGTAACATACAGCACATTTCAGTCAGTCAGTCAGATGCAACGCAGAACTTCGTACGTAAGTACATCAGTTCATGTTGCCATACCACATCAGCACAGAGATATAATTGTCAATTCTAATCCAATAGTAGAAGAGGTAGTAAAGGTATTAGAAGTAATCCGAGAGGTTAGGATTAGAAGATATTATTCAAGAAGTATAATTCAGTGAGAAAAGTTAAGAAAGTCAAAACTAGAAGGGTAGAAGAATCCAGAAGATTAGGATTTGAGAGAACATAAAGAATAAATGCACTTGCGCCATTGCGAACGATTTTGAGCCATGTCATTCAAGGTCTCTAACCATCGATTAATATTATCTGGCCGACCCCAACCAGGTAGTCGACATCTACAGACATGACTCAGACCACTTGTCAATGACTTCATGGATTCGTGCCATGTTTTGGTCTGGCCGCCCCTAACTTTCTTCCAACCTACTCGTACACTACAAAACAAAGCTCGTCGAGGCAGTCTGTGGTTAGGCATACGCAACACATGTCCCAACCACCTCAACTGATGAAGTTTCAATACTTCATCTGTTGTTCTGCCATTCTTACCTAGCACCCGATTCCTAATAACAGCGTTGCTCGCTCGGGTGTCCCAGGATATACGAGCGATGTATCGAAGATACCTTTGATCGAAAACCATACAGCACATTTATAAACAAATTGAACCTTTTTACTTAAAAAATTCATGATTGACAAGAATAGTGATAAACATGTCCATTGAATTGTTCAATCATACAGATTATACAGATCGATTATTTACAAATAATTCAGATATTTTGTTTATATTGATGTCAACTATGATTTGTTTATGACATTGAAAGAAACAATAAATTGCTCCGATTGACAAAACAATTTACATCAATAGAAAAAAGTGTAAAAAATAATTTCTTCATACAAATTGAACAAATAGCCGAACACAAACAAGCAAACAAACAAACAACAACAGAATGTGTTCGTCACTTGTAAAGTTATTATTTTTTTTGGTTAGTTTAAACATTGTCTAAAATATACAGTTTGTTTATGTATCAAGATTATATGTATAGCAGTGATCATAAAAATGTGACATATTTAACTTATAACCATGCTGTTTTACAGTTGAATCAAAACTGTTTGGTTAATCAATTTATATGCGACTTGTCAATACTGTTGTGCTTTCACATGGAAGTTCCTATAGCCAAAAGTCGAAGATAAGAGTTCTAGAAGATCAAAGTGCTCGGCATAATCAGAATATTTGGACATCAGGTGATCGAGAGAAAATCAGCTTGGAGTAAAAAACATTCAACAGATGTGAATGGATAATTACTGACCGTTATCACCTATTTCATGAATAATTTCTGTCTGATTAGGCTTGTTTATATATCGGTATGACCCGACCGTAGCTGTCACCCTGACCTAATGAACGGGCTTGCCCATCTTGATGAACAAACGGAGCTATGTTAGCAGTAAAAAATGTTCCTATAGGTTCTACAATGCCAGGCAGGTCAATTAAAGAATGGTGAAACTAAAAACAGCTACTCAGTGTCTAAGGGTGAATTCGTTCTGCTGACTGTAAAGGAGTGCGACTGCAGAAAGGTGTTTCCCTCGGACAACCAGCATCTGCAGCGGTGCTGCATTCTCACAAGAAAGGAGGTGATTAGAAAAGATTGACCCTGAACATTTCGCACCTCACCTTGCATAAAAGATTACCATCTCCAGCGATATGGCTATTTGAAGAGCGGAGCTTCTCCTAAAAAGGCCGTGCATGACCGACCTCAAGCAGTTGTCCCTTTGGCTCTGCGGTTACACATCAAGGTCTCTCAGACCAACACTAATCTTATTACATATGCAGGTTCCTAAAGAAACATCCATGGTGTGCAGTCGAGAACTGATATTCGCCCTCATACCCGTTAAAGCAAACAAGACCAAATTGGTCACAATCAATTCCTCTCTGCACCTCCTAATAACTCTCTTATCTCCACGACCAGCCCTTGTTTCGTTCCTTTGTCACCTCGCGCCGCTGATGCAAACGTGGCGAGCTCACCAAACGTTCCTCCTGGTCTCCAGAAAACTCGTTCTAAACTACATGTTGGAGCTTTTAATGTCCGGAACTTGTGCCACATAGAACAACAAGCCTAACTGCTGCTTCCCGTGACCTCACTGGTGTAAGTATAGCATTGAGCACTAGGGAAGAACTAGCTCTCTTAGACTGGATCCCAGTGGATATTCGCTTGTGCGTTGTTCGACTAAACGGGACAGTAAGGACGCGGAATGATAGGAACACTCGCCATTGCCTTTTCGTCGTCTCTGCAGCTCAGACGAGGTAAAAAGCGAATTCCAAGGAAACCTTTCTGAGCCTCTTCAAAAAGCTAGGCGCTCTGATATAGTAATAATGGCTGGTCACCAGCCATTCAATGCTCAATTAGGTAAGCTAAGTGAAGAGGAAAGACACCTGGGTGGATCTCATGGTGTTGTGGCTCAGAGAACAGATAACGGTGAACGTCTGGTGCAGCTATGCTTCGATAATCGCCTATTTCTGGCAAGTACTGATTTTGAGCACAAGAGAAAACATCTGTTGACCTGGCGACCGCCAAAGCCAATCAACGATGGACCCAACTACATGACATCGCTATAAGCCATCGGTGGAGATGCTCTGCTGAAGAATGCCTCTCGTTCTGGAGCACATGTTTAGATTCAGACCATGCTCTAGTGGAAGCGCATATTTGTTTGCGGTTTACTGGACGTAGGAAAGACAACACAAGGAAACCCCTTAGGGTTCTACTTAGTGATAACATAGCTAAGAATATATTTCAGGAACAACTAGAAAAACAGAGAGACAGCCATGCCCATCCCGAGGCAGCTTGGAATGTAATCCAAAAAGCTGTGGAAACAACAGTGATATTTACTAGTAAATAAAACCATGAAGTAGGAATCCGACTGTTGGCGAAAATATCTCGGAAAAGAATGGGACTATAATTCATTCTCAATCCAGCAACACAGACATACCTTTCTGCATCCATCAGTAGTTGTGTTCCTCTACATTGCGGTGGAATTTGTCTGTAGTTGTTGTGAGGCTCCATTGTCGTGTCTGTCATCGAAACGTGCACATATGAAGTACATTAACTTTATACAGGCTCTCCCTTATAACACTAATGGTCGAGTGCAGAGCTTATGGCGAACTGTTATTGGAACTGGTTACTTCAAGTGGTGTTCGTAAATGTTGTCCACTTTCCCCTATTGTTATCCATTTTTGTCATAAACATGCTTTGGTAGATCAATGGATAAAGTGGTCAAGCTTCATCAGTTGAGATGGTTGGGACATGTGTTGCGTATGCCTAACCACCGACTGCCTCGACGAGCGATGTTCTGTGGTGAAGGGATTGGTTGGAAGGAAGCTAGTGGCGACCAGACCAAAACATGGCACATATCCTTGAAGTCGCTGACAGGTGGACTGAGCCATGTTAGTATGTGTAGACTGTGTGGTTGAGGTCCGCGAGACGAATGTGATCGTTGGTTAGAGACCTTGAATGACATGGCTCAAAATCGCTTGTAATGACGCAGGTGCATCCACTCTTTGTGTTCTCTCAAATTCTAACCTTCAAAATTCCTCATCACTTTCATCTTTCTCTTATCAAATTTATCTAACTGAATTATACCTCTTGAATAAAATCTTCGAACCCTAATATTTCCGATAAATGCTCATAGTTCTCATACCTCTACGACTATGGAATTTCAATCGACAGTTACATCTTTTCGCTATCATGGTATAGCAACTTGAAATGATGTATGTACGTACGTACGTATGAAGTTCTTTTTTGTTGCTGACTGACTGACTGATTGATAATGGTACGAAGTTTTTTCCAACACTACAGCTATTATCCTTTTTGAAATAGAACAACCATTTACTAGCATATTATTTTTGAGTTTAAAGCTGAGTTATGATTATCAAGCATTTGCGAACTTGTAAACAGATTCCTTGATAATGAATAATTGGTAAGAAAACAGATTTCTACAAATACAGTTATTTGTGAGTAAAAATATGAAATCCTCCTTGATGTGTAAAAAAATTTATAGAATTTATAAAAATTGAATTTAATCAGCGATGAATACACGATTAGTGTCTAACTGTACTGCCGAAATAGAACAACTAAAATGTCTTCAAGTAAAAACAATTTAAACAAAATTCGAATATCAGTAAATTTACAAAGAATAAATTGTTTTCACATGACTGATGAAATTTTTTAAGTTGCCTGCAAAATTTCAAGCCTTGAAGTTACGGATGATGCTCAGCGTTCAGAATTACGTGATTGGATTAGTTTATGTATATTATAACTCCTATTGTCAACCTTAAACCTCACTTATAACTCGAATCTTTAAAAACTAGTCCTCTCCAGAAATCATATATTTGACCTTACACTCAACTTAATCTTAGCCTCATTCCTAACTCTAACCATAGATTGCATTGAAATATCATTCCATCTTATCCTTATGTTAACTCACTCATTCTTATTAACTTGTATGCACTTCAAAATGTTTTCTCTATAAAAAGTCATCATATTTGAATCGATGCTTAACATCTTAGTATGATAAATGTGATTTCTCATTGATTTATTCGCTACAACCTGGAAATGTATACTTAATTAGTATGACTTCATATTCATCACTCTGATATTGTTAATATGAAATCCAGAGAATGACTGAATACAAAGCCTATGACTGAATGGTGTTATCCTTCAGGTATATAACAGAAATTTATGTTAAATTTTCGATCATTTATTTATTATTGATGCTTTAAGGATGGTTTCCTGTCGACTACATCTAACATTCTAATATCTCAATTTCGGTTTACTATTTTCAAAAAAGTTGATCCACTTAGCATTTCAATTGTAAAATAGCTGTTGACATCTTAAAGAATAGACTTTGTACAAATTCTTAGCAACAAGTGCTCTGATGATATTAGAACTGGTGTGGCCTAGTCTTATTATCTGAAACTTTACCGCTATGATCGACTTCTTGTAGGGCTGAGATATTATAACGAAACTTAGGTGAACTCGATTGTTCATGTACACACTCAAATTATGAAACATGTATTACTAATTCATATTAGAAGTTTAAATGTTAAATATATTCAAAGTCTAATGATTAACTTTGTTTACCACTATAATTACTTTTAGACAGTAACATGGAATCGAATCCAAACAGTTGTCACTTAAACAGCAATCAAGACAATAGTGAAACAATATGTGAGGTAAGTCAGATTATTTTAGAGCTATTTTGGAATTAAGATTTATTGGCTTTATGATTAAATTTTCGATTTTTAAAATGCACGAATTCATTACTATCGAAGGAATAATACACAATGGTTGAATGATGTCAAATCATAAAAGTGAATTATTAACGTTTACCACAGAAAATTCAATATTTTAACGATCGACTTTTATTAACGTTGCCACTTTGTGAATTAATGATTCACGGTTGACAATGCAAAGATGTTTGGAATATTTTTATTGAAACAGTTTAGAATAGATGCAGCGTACAAACTAGCAAAATCACTTCGCTCAGTCACATAGAATTCAAGGGATGAAATGATAAAAACGAAAAAAATTCTATTCAAATGCCGCACACAATCTAAATAAATGTAAAGAGACCGGTAAAATTTTGATGTCGAATGGTTCTTTGACTTTCAAACTTATCATAATAAACATTAGCTGATCATTCGACAATATAAAATCTACCTAATTAATTGTAAAATTAATTAATTTTCCATTCACAATAAAATCTTATTTTCGATTACTGTGTTTTTTTTGTGGTTGTCATTGTAAAAAAACATAGCCAATTGAATTATCGAAAAATACTGCATCATTCTATCAGACAATACCGGATAATATGATGAATATAACAGACAGAACAACCAATACTCATAAAATGTCATTTACTAATGACAGATTAATTAGTAATACAGATAAATCAATAACTTTGTCAAATGATGTACTTCAAAATCCGCTAGGTAAGTATTCTCTTAATATATATATGTATATATTGAAACCTTTACATTTTACTAAACTTTATTTTAAACTGAAAGTATTATATATTGAATTATGTAACAAAATGAAATTCTTTATATTGGTAACACGTTTTTTTGAATTGGATCATTCCTGTTTATTCAGATTGAGATTAGATGTGTTTGAAATCATTAGGTATATTTAGTGACTATGGTGTGTTTTGTCATCTGATTTAATTTTTATTATATACTAAACTCAATAAACAAATGCGTAGACTGAGATGTGTAGATATGCAAAGCATGGCTGTGTATGAGACTTTCTTTCCGACTCAAACAAAAAGATATAGACTGAGACCTCGAACAGGTTCATAATCAACTTCTAATAGCGTGCCTCATTTAAAATTTTCCATTTAGCGTTTAGATTTTAGATGGTTTCTGAGCACAGAAATATTATGTGTCTATAATTACCCGACATATCAGGCTGCTAATAGACAGAAATTGATTGTTAACTAATAGCATACTGTTTATTCTTTAGTGTTAGCCTAATACTTTTTAAAAATTATACGATGTGGCTATCATACTGAGTGACTCAACATAGGATTTCACTTTCGCTAATGTTCACTCGTCGGTGACGGATGTCATGAAAGTTTAAACTTACTCTATTAATTTAGGAAGGTATATGTGTGATCCTAAAGGAAGCTATACATCTTCAGTAACTAAAAATGTGTATCATTCCATGCCACGCATAGATACGTTACCACAGACTTGTTGAGGTTCAATACAGAAACCTTACAATTATAATGTATGCTTTAGTCGGTTTACCGAAATTAGCGAAGTAAGTTGATATAGAGATAGGGAATGTATCGATATTATTTGTCTGAACATCGATTCTCATCACTGGTTAATATCAACTGGAGAACTATGGATGATGTCGATGATAATGTTTGTCATTAGGTTTATTATCTAAACTGTTAATAATTATCATTTTCACAACAAGATCTAAAAGTTCTGAATTCAATTCCTCATGGGTTTTTGACTTCACTCATCATAAAAGCTGGTAAAAAAAAGATCTAGTAATCCTTGATTTTATATCGATTTCCAACCAATTTTAGTCCATAATAGAGACAAAATTTCTTATAAGCATGGTAAATAATTACACTGCAATTTAAACTGATTTAAAGTAGACTGTGAAGGCACTGATGATAATAATTTGTAGCAAAATTTGAAGATTTATTCAATTAACGAGTCCCAAACAGGATGAAATGATCTTCCTAAATTTCACTTCTAGGCACTATTCAATTTCAATCAAAACTCTGATAACATCGAGGCAAAACAATCAGTGTGTAAATCTGCCAATATGAAATGATAAATGGAGGTAGTTAAGAACGAGAAATACAAATATTTGCAAATGATTTGAGCTTTTTCGGATGATTTTTATAGAACCCATAAGAGTAAAATCTTTCATACAGTGTCAGTAGGTTCTGTCTCACTATGGTGGATGCTACTATACAAGTTTACAGAGAGTCACTTAGGAAATATTAAAATCAACAATCGAAGATAATAACATCAAAGGATCGAAGTGTAAGGCCTAATCATTAGGTAGATTTGTAGACTAGAAGAGGAGCATGAGAAGAATGTCTCTGATCAACTTGGATTGTCAAACATACAATCGATACAATGGAAATGGATGATTTGAAGACAGAATGTACATTTTTCATAAATAATCTGTTATTTTTAAATATGCGTGTTTTTGTTTGTGCCCACACACACTGTAGTGGATATGCATTGACCTTAATGCATGTATCGAAAATTATGTATTCAAACAATAAACATAAAGTGTATTCTCTCATATGAATACACAATAATGGAAACACGAGATGAAATTCTAAAATCAACTCAACATGTCATAAATCCATTAATCACAAAATTGGAATTTGGGAGCAGTTAAAACACATTAGTCAGTAATGATCATAATAATAATAGTATAAATCAGTACTTACCTCAAAACTCATATTTTTTTATTCTTCCTCATTACATTTTCGATCAATAACAGATGAGCTTCCTTTAAAATGCTCACGGTTAGGTTGTATTTTTTTTTCAGAAGAAAATCGGGCTAAAGTGAATATAATACAAAAGAGTTTATGTGACTTTTTAAACTACCTTGATAAATTCTTGACTCTGTTTAGTCAATCAGAATAAAGATTTTGGATGAATATTTCATATTTAGGCTTTTGGTGTGATTATTTAAAAATTAACATTCAAGATTAGCATACGATGTTAAAATTGATCTATATGCAACCTAATTCTCGTTCAAACTTTTCATCCTTATTCTGAAACTTTAATTACTAACTTTAACACTAAACAGTTAATCCTATTCTAAACTTTAATCTTAAGTATACTGTTATGCATATTTTTGTTACAACAAAAAACCAATAATCAATCTATGTGGTACAACTTTATGTTTTGATGTACACACAAAGTGATCTTCAAAAAGAATCTGTTCATAATTAAGTAACTAAGCTTAAAGAAATTAATTTTTATAGAGAACATTTGTTTAACCAATTGATGAAAACAATCGATGAAGAAAAAAAATATACAATACTTTATAAATTGAAAATTGAAATAATCATTTTCAATATAGATTTCATTTGAATAATTTACTTACAAGTGATAAGTTTTTAAAATGGATTTCATGAAACTCTTCTAGGAAGCTGTACACTGAAGAGTTAACCAAATCAACAGTGAAATAGTGACCTACAGGTTACATCAGCTGAATGTAACACCAAACTACGAATTTGTCTTCTCTTATCGATATCGATCATCCTGTTCATGATCATGTGATGTATTTGCTGTGGGTATGTTAAAGTGTATACAAATGAGAAATTTTCAACAAACAATAAATAACTAACTAGTGGTCCATGGTTTTCAATAATTCCCCTGTTATTTTTATTTCATTATGACGAACCTTCTTAAGCAATTAAAAAAATTCAATCATAGATTGATCTCAGTTGTAGTACAATTAAAAACAGGAAAGCACCGGATAGTTTCTCATCCTGTTATGAGACTTATTGACAATGCAGACCTAATACTCTATCAAGAATCAAGTCTAGTGCCGTAAAATATCCCTATGATCACCTAATGATTTGAAATATTCAGTCGATGTCCAATGGTACACTCCCAAATATTAAGGATTGACGATTATTTAATCTGATTAGTGATAATGCAAAGCTCTTCACTAGAAGCTCAGGAATATTTTAGAGTAGGTTACTGGTGACCTAACTTTACTTGTTCATGTAAATGTCTAGTATCCTTGACATGAATCAGATTTCGGACACATGATGATGCTAGATTCATGAAACATTTATTGTTGTCGATATTCAAAAAGTACTAAATGTGAGTTTTATTGTCAACACCAGTACTCGAATTCAGGTAATAACCATGAATAACCATAAAAATCCTGATAATTTGAAAGAGTTTTAATATTTTCCATCTATGTTATCATTTAATACTAAATCGATCAGAATCTGTTGGGTATTCCAACTTCCAGCAAAATTGTTCTATTGCATGCCTAGAGATATGTGATTGCCTAATTTTCAGTATTTTTAAAAACTTTAATATTAGTAGAACAATCATCAAGTGACATGTTAACCCATATTATCTGTTCAATGATTATTATGACTTAGTTCAGTTACAAACAATGTACCATTTGTCTCTAGGTGACGCAGCCGTATTTTATACCAGGTAATATTATTGTCCACAAGAAAATAGGTTATGTACATTGAGTTAATGCATCAGATAAAGTCAATAGTGATTTTTAAAGTCAAGCGATACATCAACTCTTTGAAACATAAACTAATTTATTAACTATTTTAGAAATAATTAGCAGTCAGTATAATATGTTATAATTTTCTGCTATCTTTCCTCCCAGATTCTTACCATCGTGTCCGGCGAAATTCTGAACCTCGTCTTTTGTCCAGTAGTACACTGAATAGGCCAACACCTCAGTCTACTTTGCTGACATCAAAACTTCAGCATAATTTAAATAAATCCACATATGGCCCACTTAATTCACGTTTCGATGTCGAAAATGAATATCAGTGTTTAGCTCAAGCAATCGATAACAGAATAACACATATTTCACGATGTTTAACTCCATTTTTTGATCATCGACCCCATCAAACTATTCCCAATTCGGAAGCTATTGGGTTAAATCAAATAGACAATAATTATCGCAATTTTTCATCAATGGATTTACAAAAAGTAAACTCACCAGTAAATATAAGTCACCAGTCAGTTATTTACACAGCATCTACAATAAATAATGAAGAAAATGAACAAATGTTATCTTCTAAAACTCCTACACTAATCTATGCAATGTCACCTAAACAGAATAGACATTCAATGCATTTACGAGGTAATTCGTTGCCAGTTTATCCTGTGAACGAATTACAACAAAACTCTAGAAATTTAAAATCATTTCAACATCGTCTCAAACCACAACAGCATCAATATCGAAACGAGCAACATCCAATATCTTCCTGTCAAGATATTTCATTACTGCAAGCAACATTAAGAAGACACAATCATCAGTCAATTATGAAGAATGCACAGATAAATCCTACGCTAAATTATGGTCAGCATAATGCAAATCGGTTAATGTGTTTAAGGGATCCAATTCATTATAAAACATTTCATATCTCACAACATCAAGATAGTTTGCTTACATCACCTGGAATAATATATGCGGATAATTTCAAAGTTTGTTTACCTAACAAGACTAGATACCATCATTATCACTTGTCATCATCATTGAACGATGATAAAGAATGCCAACAGTTGTTAGTACAAAGTCATGGTGATATTAACGAAGATAACGATTATATTTGTGATAAGAACATTACATCAAGCGATCAGAAACCATTGAATAAAAATTATAGTAACAATAATATTATTCATAATATGCATAGTATGAATACATCGACAACTTTAGATCAATTAGAAGAAATGCCGATTTATGTAAAATCTTCCAAGAATCCTCACAGAAAACTAGACAATTCAACTATACCATTAAATAATGATAAAAACATCTCTGTTGATAATAAATTTAATCATAATGAAGATATTGTCTGCAATGATACAACTAAAACTACAGAACTTCATCCATTTCAATGTTCTTCACCAACTACAGTTCATCCTTTACCAACGGACGTTGATATTGATCATCATCATCATCATCACATGTCTGATAATTTGATTAATTCAAAGAAAATTTTAAATGCACAAAATTATGATCTTCAGTTAATATCAGTCAATCAATTATCGAAATCGGTTTCATGCAAATATGCCTATAAAACAGTTAATGAAGCCAGTTTTGTTTAAAATAAGAAATTTACATGTATTCAATGTCCAATGTGAACACTTTTTAAGTATTAAACACTTAAATAATTTTGTATATTCTTTTCTTTCATGAAAAATTTCATTACTTATTATGATATATATTGTAGCTCTATTTAAAATCTCAAATCAATTTTATATCTAATGCGATTCAAACTGAAGAATACAGAAATTATAGCTTTACTGAATATATCATGTTCAGCAGTGCTGACATGATGTTTGTTTGGGAAATTACTTTAATTTCTTAAAATCATGGCAAACTGTAATTGATATTAGAATAATCTCGAGTGAAATAAAAGAATCATTCTTAAAACTATTAAGATTATGTAAATTTGATCCAATGAAAAGATCTTACTTCTCTGAATGTGTTTTTCATTTATTTCTTTGGATAAAAGTTCGTGGTAAATATCTTTAAATACAACTCAGAAAACTCCGCCTGGAGCTCATCTGAGGCTGCTGCCGGTCCCAAGACCGGATAAAGGAAGATGGTTGGCCTTAGGTTTGGTGACGCCATCCTATAAAAAAACTAACTCGCTAAAAAACGCTAACCAGAAAACCCAATTCAAACCATTTTACCTCTCCCTTAGAGTTGGAAAGTCTACTTTCAGAAGAGTTATGACGCCTCACAATGGAGGTCGAGTCTCTTCGGAAGTGACAAGGCAGACACCCTTTCTGACAACCAGAGAAAGCATTATTTTAGGTACATTAAATGTCTGAACATACTAAGGTTGGCATGGAAAACACTGGATATGAAGACACCATGGCGCGACATGGACTGGGAGAAAGGAACGAAAACGGTGAGTGATTTGCAAACCTATGTGCCTTCAACAAACTGGTCATCCGCGGCACAATATTCCTACACAAGTGCATACACAAAGCTTCATGGATTTCACCGGTTCACACTACTCAGAATCAGATCAACTATATCTGTATCAACAAAACGTTCAGAAGGATTATGGAGGATGTGAGAACCAAGAGAGGGGCTGATACAGCCTCAGATCACCACTTTCTGGTCGTTAAAATGAGACTGAACATAAAGAAACGCTGCATAACGGGGCAGACAGCATCACAGAAGTTTAATACAACCTTTCTGCGGGATACCGTAAAACTCAACGAATTCACGATAGCCCTCAGTAGTCGATTCCAGGCTTTTCATGATCTACTCAATATAGAGGAAACAACCTTGGAGAACAATCGGGAAGGGAACATTGAGGTACTGAGCAACAAGAACTATCACCACAAGAAATGGATCTCTGCTGGTAATCTCGAAAAAATTGGAGTTAGGAGGAACAAGAAGGCAGCAATCAATGTCAGCCGAACAAGAGCAGAGAAAGTTAAGGTACAAGCTGAATACACAGAAGCAAACAAGCAAGTGAAGAAAAGCATCAGAGCTGACAAACGGAAAAATGTGGAGGATCTAGCTATGACGGCGGAAAAGGCTGAAAGAGAAGAAAGCATGAGACACTTGTACGATACAACGAAGAAGCTCACTGCAAACCATCGTAAACCAGAACGACAAGTGAAAAGCAAGAAAGGCAAAGTAATCAACAACACTGAACAACAGCGAAACAGGTGGGTAGAGCACTTAAAGGAACTCTTGAATCGACCAGCTCCACTCAACCCACTCAACATCGGAGCAGCATTCACGGACCTCCTCATAGATGTTGGCCGAACGACAATTGAAGAGGTTAGCGTGGCTATCAGACAAATCAAGAGTGGCAAATCAGTGGGAACAGACAACATTCCAGCAGAGGTAATGAAAGCAGACTTGAAAGCAACTGTAAAAATACTTCACATTCTCTTCAACAAGATTTGGGATGAAGAACAGAAACCATAAGATTGGAAATAAGGACACCTGATCAAGATACCAGAGAACGGCGATCTCAGCAACTGTGAGAACTACACAGGCATCACTATTCTCTCCATACCAGACAAATGTCTTCAACAGGGTATTGTTAAACAGAGTCAAGGACTTCGTTGACACCCAACTTCGAGATGGACAGGCTGGATTTCGTTGCTTACTCTCACCCTTTCTCTTTCGCCAGGTGATCCACTGGATTATGAAGACGTCAACATCTGGATGGAAGCACGGTATCCGATGAACAGCCAGGATGCAGCTGGACGATCTGGACTTCGCAGATGACTTGGCTCTTCTATCGCACACACAACAACAAATGCAAGAGAAGACGACCAGCGTAGCAGCAGACTCTGCAGCAATAGGTCTCAACATTCATAAAGCGAAAAGCAAAATTCTCCGATGCAACACAACATGCGTCAACCAAATCAGTCTTGATGGAAATGCCTTGGAGGACGTAAAATCACTTACGTATCTGGGCGGCACTGTCGAGCGGTGGACAAACATTGTAAAAAGCACCCAACTGCGGCACGAGAGAATCCCCCACTTCGAACCCTCAGAGTCAAAGGAGACGAGGAAGGCCAAGAAACACATTACACCGAGAAATAGACAAAGATATGAGAAGCATGAACAAAAGTTGGACAACTAGAAAGGAAGGCTTAAGACGCAGTTGGATGAACAATACTTGTCGGTGGCCTATATTCCATTGGGAGTCACAGGCGTTAGCAATTATGTAATTAAGTAAGTACAACTCTGAAAGCCCATAAATGCTAAGAATAACTTATTGTAACATGCAGAATAGGCAAGAAATTACTGTGTGATAGAAAAGACAGTAAATACACGCATTAGGATAGAGTTTTTAAGTAATGCATCAAAGAAGAAGCTTTTATCTCTATTTCTTTTTTTGTTACAATTTTAACTGTCAAAATAATCGCTTCATTGAATAATAAACAAGCTAACAGTAGGATTGCATAATGTATTAAAGTTTCTATACTTTATACTTTATCTGAATGGTAACCTATACACAATTAGATTAGTAAGATTCCGTATTAATGGTTTTCGAATAATAAAATTAGAAAATTAACAGTTAACCTTGAAAAACTGAATCAACTCACTAAAATTACAATCCTTTTGTAAGTTTCATTTTTTTTCACTGGTAAAATACTATGAATTACTACAAGGTTTCTCTGTACTGACTGAAAAACAACTTCAAAATCTTAACCTTCATTTCTAATAATAAGCATGATACTATTAGATCAATATGTCACAATTCACTAACATCTATTCACCATTTACTAGGTTACCATACAGATTACATCAAACCTTCAACACTTGCGTGAAATATTTGCCATGGTAATAGACTATTTCAACTGTGTAGCTTTCAACCCTTGTGATGATCTGTTTTCCTTCACACTAAAACTATTCTATTCTTCAAATATTTCAGATACACTTGTCTGATAACTACAATGACATTAATGAGAGCAGTGTGAACTCAACGTGTTTTGAAAACAAATGATTCATCAACGGTAGTCTCAAATCTATTAACTAACATAAACTACTGATAAAACAAACCTTTTTCTTGAAGTCGTTTTTTAAGCTAAATGATTTAAAACTTTTCAACACTCCCTATATAATCTGTCGCTCTAGATTGAAATGTACTTGAAATTTAACTAATTTTTGTTTTTAATAATTCTTTATCTGAAGCTTGTTTTCAATGAACACATTATCTTCAAGTTTCAAGATTGTCACTTTCAAATCATCACACATGAATGCCAGTCATCCTATGATTTGAGTGGTTGCATGCTTCATCTGTTATACACTTTTAATGTAAAAACACTTAAGTTTCTATTTCAACATTTTCTGATGCAAACATTAACCTCGATACTTATATATATATATATATATATATATATATATATATATATATATATATATATATATATATTTGCGAATAATTTAAGCTCTGCGTCGATTTAACGATCAACTGATCAGAGAATGTAAAGTAAAACAAATTCACTCATACATAAGATGAACAGTATTCAAAAATCACTCAACAGTTATAAACAATTTCGGTCTAATTCATCGATTTTATTCATATTAGTTGAATAATATCAGAATAACGATGTCATAAAGCAATCTCTTTTGTTGAGGTTGTGTTTTCAAAGATCGATGGTATGTTCTCAAACCTTACATTCGTTTTCTGGGCTTACTTACTGACTTAACTGCTTACGCCTCTTACCCCCAATGGAGCATAGGACGCCGACCAGTATTCTCCACTCTACTGTGTTCTGGGCCTCCCTTTCCAGTTCTGTCCAATTTTTGTTCATGCTTCTCGTATCTTTCTCTGAGGGTTCCAAGTGGGGAATTGTCTCGCGCCGTAGTTGGGTGCTTTCCACAATGTGTCCTATCCACTTCCATCGCTTCTTCCTGATTTCCTCCTCCACTGGAATCTGGTTTGTTCTCTCGCAATTTCCCAGACAACATTGATCAAAAACAATCAATGGTTAATATACAATGTGTTCTGTTGTGAATCCACATATTTTTATCTTCATCTATTACAGGCTTGTTGAAATAAGCCAAAGTTAAAATCTTCATAATGTTTCAAATAACAGACAAACTCAGCTTCAGCGAAATAACAGAGGTGGATAATCTATCGAAATATTCATCTACGTCACTTCACGAACATACCTTAACTGGACAACCAGTAATAACCTAGAAATCAATGGACAGTTGCTTCATCCTAGCTTAGTGCATCCCATACCCAAGAACTTATTAGGAATCGAACTTAACATCCGCAGATCTCAATAACCTATGAACCTGAGTGAATTCAGTTGACACACCTCAGTTGTTCAAGTCATCTTATTTAATAAGCGAAGTAACTAGTGTAAAACGATAATCTTGAGGAATAACAATAAAATTAATTTTTTTTCAAACAATATAAAAAAAGCTGAGCAAGTTTTTCTTCTGAACACCAAAAAAATTAATATACTTGATCAACGGCCTATGCTTCACTGAGGGTAGGTAAGTTACGATTGGTCCAATTATTATAAAACTGCAGTAAAAAAGAATAATCAGTAATCATAAAATAGAAATATGAATAATAATTTCTTCTTAGAATAGTTCTATACTTTGATTTTACTCAGTTATTCACTCCAGTGCAATACAAGTTTCTTTATCATTAAAAAGTAACCTCGTTTTTCAGAGTTACTAGTTAATGAATAAATATATTTACACATTTGAAATCCTCAATCACTCATTGTTAGACCACCATTAGAAACCTGGAAGCACTGGACGGCCGTTCCGTCTTGGTATGGTACTACTGGATTCGCACTGCTGATGAGTCCCATACAATGAATCCCGTACAATGCGTCATTTGCTCCAAGTTCCTATACACCAACAATTCACTCGTTTGTTCCAACTGCCTGACATCATGGAAGTTATCAGTTTGACATCTTGCTACTTATAAGTAGTCCGAAAATGTAAACTTCATTTTACTCCTAGTTAT